TTAAAATTTACTATTATTTAAGCTCCATGCTATTTTTTTTAACAGACACACGAAGATAGCTGTCAGTACGGTAATGTGAAATGTCAAGCGTGCAGTGAAACTGTGGAGAGGAGACAGCTTGCGGCGCACAGGGAGCAAGATTGTATCAACAGGGCAGTGGCGTGTACTTATTGTGGTGGTGAAGTTTGGCATAGCAATATGAAGGTAAGATGATCAGCTCCATCGTTAAAACAAAAACAAATTATGTAAACTCTTAATCTTCAAGAAACCGATACGGATTAACACCGACATGCTCAACGTTTGTCTCAAAATATGGACTGTAGGGAAATGCCAGTTGAGGTTCACGTCAGCACATACATGTACATGAGGTTTATATTTTCGAAATTTACATCAATTTGGTTTGGTCTGATGTGAAAGAGGTGTTAATAATATAATCGTATCGTCTATACTGCTTAAAACCTCGACTTGACCTCAACTTATATCTAATATCTTTTAAAGGACCATTTGGATGTCTGCCCTAAGTTTCCAATCCATTGCTTCTTGAACTGTGGAGAGAAAGGTATACCAAGAGACATGATGGAAGAACACATGACCAAACGTTGTCTTAAAGCTGAACATCTCTGTCCTTTCAGCGTTCATGGCTGTGAATTTAAGGTTAGTTAGTTACTTTTTGTCTACTTTGTTTGATTTTTCGTCTCAATATATCATTTATATAAGTGTCTTAGCGAACAAGAATCTAAGAGCAGAAAATAACGTATCGAACCCAATATAAAGACCACCTTGTGTAATTTGTATTGCCACGATCCAAATCAGTTTTTCTCTTTCTACAGGGCACTAAACAAACAATCGATCCACACGTTGTTGAGAATATCGAGTCTCATCTTGAAATGATGAGCTATTCAAGCCATGAATGTAACGAGAAATCAAAACAGATGGAAGAGAAGATATATCGTCTAGAACAAGAAAAAAGTGCTTTGGAACATCAACTACAAAATCAAGCAGAGGTGTTGGCAGCTGCAAGACAAAACATACAAACGCAACAGACAAAATTGTCCCACGTAGAAAACTCCATCATCGAACAAAAGAGGACAACTGAGAAATTGCTTGCCGATTTGAAGGCTTTTGAGGCATTTAGAACTAATGGGGATATTGTCTCGTCTCAGATGGAAGAAATAATGAATACTCTGCGAGAACACGAGAAGGAGGTGAGCAGTCTTCAGGGTGAAGTGGCTCGTTTGAAATTATCCCCTGCCACGCCGAAAGGTGAGAGTAACTACCGTCCAAAATCCGACGTGTCTGTCACTCGTGAGTCCGAGCGCCGGCTGGACAGGAATGAGCACCAACTAGCACTGCACGACATTCAATTGTCCGATCATGATATGCAGATTCAAATGCTGGAGGCTACATCGTATAATGGCACCTACTTTTGGAAGATCGACCGCTACAGCCAACGCTTCCAAGAGGCTGTTTCTGGAAAGACTCTATCTATCTACAGCCCTCCTTTCTATGTAGGACGGTTTGGGTACAAAGTATGTGCTCGTCTCTACCCCAATGGAGACGGAATTGGTAAAGGAACGCATTTGTCAATGTTCTTTGTTGTCATGAGGGGTGAATACGATGCTTTATTACCTTGGCCGTTTCTCCAAAAGGTTCATTTTCGACTGATAGACCAGGACAGGATCCGGGACGCTTATGATGCGTTTCGCCCTGAGCCTAACAGCTCAAGCTTTAAAAGACCCACGTCTGACATGAACATAGCATCTGGCTGCCCGACGTTTATTTCTCACATAGAACTAAGGCAAGGTGGCTATATTCGGAACGATACAATGTTCATTAAAATAACTGTAGATACTACTGGTCTGCAAGGAGATATGTGGCAGTAAATCCTTGCCTTTTACAACCTCTCAGGTCTTACATAAGACCTGAGTGCCTGGAACAGACCCTAGCCCAACGGTTTTAGTGGTTTAGTCGGTCAAATTCTCTTAATCGTGTGCCAAATTTGCATAGTGCAGTTTGTTGTTATCTATTATCCTGAAATTTGGATCTGTTATTTATTTCTTGAAAAACCAAGCTCCCGCGTCAATCTTAAATTATTTGGATATCTATTGTAATAAAATGTATGTTAGTTTTCAGGCACTAGCGAAAATTACTCGTGTGGGTCCATGAAAAGTTACTTGTAATTATAAGATATTTATAAAGTGTATTCGAAAGGCAAAAGACATAGTATTTATTTATGGAGAGAATGTTTATGGAAACAAAGAAATAAATATTCAACTTCAAAGTCCAAAATGTAATTTATTGCAGAAGACAAAACGGTATTCATAAAATTTCCCTCGTTTTGGGCAACACTAGGAACGACCCTTTACCAAAACATGTGCTTTAACAGTGACCGATTACAGAGACGGTTTTCCCTGAAGAAAATATGTCATCTAAAAAATTTGTTTTTTGGAAAAAAATATGATATAATATTTATAACTTCAAATATCATGACTTATGTTTTGAAAGCAGCCTGGATAATATTTATAATGCTTTATATTTCTTATGACTCTTAGATAATATTAACTGTATATTTAATATATAACTGGATATTTATTTTTTATTTGTAATTTTGTAGATAGCTAAAAATATACAAATAAATCATTTTGAAAGAATATTGATATGAAAAATTGACTTAAAAAAAAAGATAAGTAAGGATACATCATTAATAACTTTGATTCGGTATTTCAAACTCATTATAGTACAGTGTGTGTTGTGAATTTTTCCAAAGACGTTATAAGTGAAAGAGTGTGGCTCAAAACCATCCTCTTCGTCGTGATGTGTAGCCTCAAAAATTTGGTAAGCTGTGGCACCTGGGGTCTTACCTCCTTGCCCTTGATAAGTTGAGAAAAGTTTGGCAGGTCTCAGGTGAGAGGAAAGACAGCATAATGCGCCTGGACCTTTATTTAAGGGGAAGTTAGT